TACAGTATACACCACTCTCCATATGGTGTGCAGACCAAGGGCGGATCCAGCATGTATTTACGGTTGGGGCACTTTATAGGAAAAATTGTATAATATAGATATAGCCCCCCACCAAAAAAAAAAAAAACCATGTGATAAAAATGTATGTTTTTTACTTTTATTTTTAATCTTATAAAATATTATCTTATATTTTATAATTTATTCATAAATGGAACTTAACTTAATGCTTTTATTACATTTATAAAATAAAATCTAATTTTCTATTCTTTGTTTTCGATAATCTGTCAATCACAGTATCTATGTCAATATCTTCTTTTTTGTGCGCATGAATAACGGCCAAATCTGATAATCTGTCTTCTGACATCCTACAACGCATCCATGTCTTAATCCTTCTAAGTGACGAAAAACTCCTTTCTGCCGAAGCAACACTAACTGGTAAAGTAGTCAAAACTGTGAGACACATATTAATAAGTGGAAATATTTCTTTATCACATTTTATCAGAGTATCTAAAGCTGAATTTGGTATGTCAGAATTTTTATCTTTCCACTGTTGGTTCCACCACTGTAATTCTCCTTTTAATTTAATAATGAAATCTTCTTCATTCACAATTCGTTTGCTCATTTCTTCGACATTGCCAAACTGTTTCCAAATTATACGTAAATTATATTCAAAATATTCAAGGGATTGAGACATAGGTACTTGAGGAATAAATATCCCCAAACTAAATATACTTAGAGTTTCTTCGGTAAAACGATCGTTTATATCATTTATTATAAAATCAAGGAATGAATTATATATAGCTACACGGAAATAATCTTCTACTGAGTCAGTTGAATAATTTACTCTGTTAATTTGTTTCTTTACTGTTCTTGGTTTTAATATTGGTATATGAAGATCTTCCATTTGTTTACTGGCTTTTAAAAAAATTTCTTGAAAGTTTGTTTCACAATTTTGACGAAGTGATTTTAACGTTTTAACGGTAGTTTTAATAGCATCGTTTGCAGATTTCTTATCGAAACTTTTTTTCTGAAGAATAGTGCTTAATGGCAATGTAATTGAAAATATTGATGACGTTACGAAAAGAGTTATAATAAATTCACAATCTATTGAGTTATAAAGCAACTTTGCCTTACTTGACGATTCGCGTTCATCCCAATTAGCAATATCATTTAAAGATTCAAGAATTTTAGGCAAGCCAGTTAAAAACTGTAAAACCGCTGTATGCCTTTCAATCCAACGAGTTTCACATAAAGAATGTAATGCAGCATGCAAACATGATTTTAACACAAAGTTACGTTTTGAACTTGAATTAAAAAAATGTACAATTTCTTTGATTTGACCAAATGCATTACGGATCGATTGAATTTGACAACCTTTAGCTATAGATAAATTTAAGTTATGATTAAAACACGGACACCAAATAGCTCCCGGAATTTCATTTTGAATAGTTCGAACAGCTCCACAAATTTTAGAAGACATTACACTGCACCCATCTGTTGATATACCTACACAATTTTTCAAAACTAATCCAAGTTTCTTCATGATTTTTAAGACTGTTTTACCAAGAACTTCACCACTTAATTTAGGCTCAGTATTAATAGCATCAAAATTTTCTTTATGTGGATCGATAAAAGTGATAAAGTCTTCTTGTATAGAATTATTATAAACGTATCTTATAACCAAACACAATTGAGACGTATGACTCATGTCCGTAGTTTCATCAAACATGATGCTATAGAAGGTAGAACTGGAAATTTTTTTCAAAATATTTTCTATTATAATATCACTTATTACGGATAAAATTTCATTTTGTGAAGTTTTACTTATATACGTCGCATTTGAATTAGATATCTCAAAATGTCTTTTTAATTCGATATCCCCAGACTCAATTCTAAATTTTAACAGTTCTCTAAAATTTCCTTCATTTCCTACAATGGAATTTTGATTTGAATCCATATTATCAATTAAATTTCCATCATCTCTATGACCACGGAGGGCAATATTTTGTCTTGCTAAAAATAAAAGTGTCTGAATAATGGGACGTATTCTTTTCCTATTTTCGTCAACTGTTCTCATACGTTGAGTACTTACTAAGTTAATGATTTTTTTTTCCGGATTTTCATAATTATTTATAAAATCTTTAGATTTCAAAACAGCTTCCCTGTGGTATTTTGTATTTTGATGACTATTCAAATCTCCCGAATTTCCCAATAAGTTTTTAAATTTCACCATAGGCTTAGTGACAAGTATACCTAGAGGCATAGCATTTTTATTACCAGTACCATGTCCTTTAAAATAGAATAAACTACAATATTTGCAAAACAAGCCTTTTTGATTTTCAGAAAAAACAGTCCATGGATATAAATCAAGATGCTTTTGACTTAAATATCGACGTATTTCTTTTCCATCACGATTTTCAATGGAATAAGGGAATTTAAAATCTTTTGGAGGATTCCAATGATTTTTTAAAAAATTATAACGTGTATGATCATCGACACATGTGTTCAGATTCAGAAATAAACCTATGTCATAAGTAATTATCATCGAATTGGAAGGTGATGAATGTATGGAATTTTCTGTTTCATTTTTTTTTGATTCAGTTGGTTCAGAAGAATTAGACACTGTATCACTAAAAGTGTCCATAGTTTTATTTTTTTTGAAAAATTTCAGAAGATCGTAATTGCTTGCGTTTCTTTTTCTCTGCATTTTCAAATTATATGCAGTATATTTTTACCAATAATTGGTTCTATTTTAATTATTATAAATAGTATATTTACCAAATATAAAGTTCAAAGATGAAATGAAACCGTTGTAGTCACACTCAGCGGCCGTCGTCATTGACTCGTCGTCAGGAAATAAAGCCGTATCATAATAATTTGTATAATCGTGGTTATGATATTTTGACATTGAGTTATCGGAATTATTTTTGGCTCATACAGTCGTACGGGCCGTATGATAACGTGCGGTGATGGTGACCGGGGAACGCATGTGTATCGCCGTATGCCCGTATCGGTCAATTAGATATAGGTATAACGAACGGGATTACGATAACGCGCGTGTAACGTGTGTACTGTGTAGTGTGTACCGACTACAGAGCGGCGGGCACCGAGCCTAGATAAAGAACAATGATCACATAGTAATTAGTAGTATGGTCGCATTCGTAGTGTTTATAAATATTTTATTTTTATACATTTCCGACGATACGTAGACTTCGATACTAAAATTTTTATTTTTTTTTCTAACGGGGATGGCACTTGCCACCAGTGCCCCCCCCCTGGATCCGCCCTTGGTGCAGACTAGAATTCGTCCTAAATAATGTTTAAT